GAAGACTAAAACATGGACTGGATTAACTGCCCCCACAAACTTGGAGTCAATGGCTGCTCTGAATGGAGACCAAATATGCACATGGCACCTGGTTTTATCTGTCAAAAGATGTTCTGTCTTTCCTTTTTTTGCATCTGTATTTACGCAAAAAGGAAAAATTGGTCCTCCCTATCAAAAGCAGCATTGTGGGAGACAGGAGAAGGAAGCAGGTCAAAATACGTAAGGAAGTGGCAAAAGAACACCTAGCTGTTTTGAATGAGTTTGAGACTCCTGGGCCAGATGGTTTACATCCCAGGGTACTAATAGAACTGGCTGATGTGATATCAGAACCACTGAATGAAATCTTTGAAAAGTTTTGGAGCATGGGCAAACTGCCAGAGGACTGGAAAAGATCTGATGTGGTTCCAATCTTCCAAAAAGGGGGGGTGGGAATGGATCCAGGAAACTACAGGCTAATCAGCTTGACATTGACACCTGGGAAAATCCTGGAAAAATAATCAAGCAGCAGATTTGTGAGCACCTAGAAAATAACTAGATGATTACTAGAAGCCAGCAGAACAAGTATTGCCTTCTTTGATAAAGTGACTAAATTAGTGGACCAAGGAAACACAGTGGATATAGTACTTAGAATTTAGTAAGACATTTGATAAGGTAAGCCACAACCTACTTCTGTTAAGATAGAACAAAGTGGATAGACAGCGGAGCTACCAGATGGATTTGCAGCTGGCTGACCAACCGCATTCAACATGTGGTCCTCAATGGAACCACATTTATATGGAGGGAAGTATGCAGTGCGGTCCCTCAGAGTTCTGTCTTGGGCCCAGTACTCCTCAACATCTTCATAAATGACCTGGATGAGGGGACTGAAGGAGCACTCATCAAATTTGCTGATGACACAAAGCTGGGGGGGAATTGCTGATACTTTGGAAGATAGACTCAGCATTCAGAAGGATCTAGACCAGGCTTGTCCAACCCGCGGCCCGAGGGCCGCATGCAGCCCAGGTCAGCTCGTAATGTGGCCCAGTGCAATTTTTTATTTTTAAAGAAATTCTAAAGTTTCAAGTTACACTGCCGGCACTTGCGGCCAGAATACGGCTGGGGCACGTCACAACAGTGGGGGGGGAGAGGGGAGGAAGGAAGGAGCGGGGGGGGGGGGGAGAGGGGGGCTGCGTGACTGCATTGCGCCATCCCCGTCAATAGGTGGACCCCCTCCCGGCCCCATAAAGCCACCGGAGTCCAAGCTGGCAGCCTCTGCTGTCTGAGATCGCAGCTGCCGGTAAGCGCGCGGGCCCTATCCAATAAAATGCAGTTCACTGGTGGGAAAAATAAGGTCCTGCACTTAGGCAGGAGAAATTTGATGCACAGGTATAGGATAGGTGGTACCTATGAGAGGGATTGAGGTATCCAGGTGGGCCACTGCTTAAGGATGAGTCAGCAGTGTGCTGCAGTTGCCAAGAAAGCCAACACAGTCCTAGGCTGCATTAACAGGGGGATAGCATCAAGATCCAGTTCACTGGTGGGAAAAATAAGGTCCTGCACTTAGGCAGGAGAAATTTGATGCACAGGTATAGGATAGGTGGTACCTATGAGAGGGATTGAGGTATCCAGGTGGGCCACTGCTTAAGGATGAGTCAGCAGTGTGCTGCAGTTGCCAAGAAAGCCAACACAGTCCTAGGCTGCATTAACAGGGGGATAGCATCAAGATCATATGAATTGATAGTACCACTCTATAATGCACCGGTGAGGGTGCACTTGGAATGCTGTGTCCAGTTCTGGTCACCACAATACAAAAATGATGCTGAGGCCTTGGAAGGGGTGCAGATTAGAGGAACAAAGATGATAAGGGGCTAGAGGCTGAATCCTATGAAGAACGACTATAAGAACTAGGTATATTTAATTTAATGAAGAGAAAACTGGGGGGAGACATGACAGCAGTCTTCCAATATCTAAAGGGTTGCCACAGGGAAGAGGGCATCGATTTATCCTCCATTGCACCTGAAGGTAGGACAAGAACCAATGGGTGGAAACTCGTCAGAGGGACATCCAACCTGGAAATAAGGAGGAATTTTCTGATGGTGAGAACCATTAAGTAGTGGAACAGCTTGCTTCCTGAGGCTATGGGTGGCCCCTTGCCGGGATGGTATGAGGTCTCCTGCTTTGAGCAGGGGATTGGACTAGAAGACCTCCAATGGCTCTTCCAGCCCTACGACGATTCTATGATTTTCTGCTGTAAGAAGAAAATATGGAAGAAGAAGTGGGGAAAGCCCATCTTACAAAAATACCAATGACATCTGGACCCTGCATAAAATTATATGAGGGAAACATGATGGTTGCACACCGTAAGCCTTTTCTGGAAGCATTCTACAGTATATACAGTACTTTCGGATGCTGACTATGAGAAATGAGTGCTCTGCTAGGTAAAACAAACTCCCTGCAATCAGGAAACCAGCACAACAGGAGTGAGCTGAAAAAGAAGCCCTGATATGTTAACCAAGGTTTTTCTTTTTGTTTTTAATGGACAGGTGAGAATCTTTTCACTCGGAGGAGCATTTGCTTAACTACAGCCCAGAAATATGCCAGATTCAAGAGTTGGGGGTTGCGGGAAAGATAAATATTTCCTACTACTCAGTGGCAGAATACATGCTTTTGGTTGTAACAAAGGACAGCTTTGCTCCTTTTTGTTGCAACTGTTACTTTTAAGGGCCAAAATCCTATTATGCAACTTTGTGCAAATAAGGAAAATTTCACAAGTGTTTTTTTTCCCCACTTTTCTGGGCAAACTGATCTGACTGGATAACTTGGTGAGTTAGACATCTGCTGCAAAGCCAGAAGTTGGGAGTTTCATTCCCCACTGCACTTCTCATAAGAGCTAGCCTGTGCAGCTTTGAGCAAGCTGCACAGTCCGAGGGTGACCCCAGAAGAAGCGAATGGTAAACCAGTTCTGAGTACTGTCTGTCTATAAAAGCCTGGAAATAGTTGCCATAAGTCAGAATTGACTTGATGGGACATTATTATTATTATTATTAGGCATGTGTCACAACCTAGTGTGAGATCAGATGCATGACCTGTCCAAGCACATGACAGACAACCAGCAAGATCATACAAATCACTTGAACAATTTCTAGTTTATGCTACAGAAAGCTAAATGGATTATGATCATTGTTACAGCAGATGTGCTTTTTGTACCAGAGTATCATTTTAGGTATTTTTTTAACAATGAGAAATTTATCATTTAAAAAAACCTGTAACAGTATGGACTGTAGCTATAAAAAGTAACTTTCCAGTTCCTGGAAAGAATTCTGCTAGAAACTTCAGGAAGTTGCTACCAGTCAGAATCTGCAGTACCTTACTAGGCTAGATGGACAACAGGTCTGTTACAGTCTCAGTAAAACACTGTATTTTTTAAGGTTTTAGTTGAATGAGCCCAGGGAGAAATAGTCTGTAGACTGAGTGGAAATGTTGCTCACTTTTTAAAAACAGTCCACAAGAGAACCTAAACTTTAGTCTCAAGTACCTGAAAACTTTTTTTTCTCTGTGTCTGAAAAACCAAATGAATATAGACATGCCCATAGATAAGTGCTGATTATTACTGATAAAGCCCTATACTCTTGTGTTTATGCTTTTTGAAGGATTGTATCACCCCATATGAGCCTTCGCCACTTTTAAGATCTTCTGGGGGGGGGTTCCTTCTTTCAATTCCACCTCCTTCTCAAGTTCATTTGGGGAGGACAAGGGAGCGCTGCTCTCAGGCTTTGCAATGCACTGTCCCAGAAGCCAGGTTGGTCCCCTCCCTGTTCTCCTTCCATTGTCAGGCAAAGACCTTCCTTTTCAGGCAGGCTTTTATTATTATTTTATTTATTTACTTACAATATTTTTACCCTGCCTTTCTCCTCAAAAGGACCGAAGGCGGGTCCTTTTAAGCAACAAGTGTACTCTTATTTTTGAAATTAAATTATTTTTTTAAAAAAATGTTTTTTAAAAAATGTTTTCAAATGGGCATCTTGACCAATGTTTCATTGGGTTTTTTTAAATATATGGTTTTGTATGATATTTTGAACTTGTTATTATTGTATGGTTTTAACTGTTGTGAACCACTTTGTGTCTCCAATTGGGAGAAAGGTGGCATATAAATAAAGGAAAATAAATTAAATAGGCATGTTAGGGCTTATGGATGGTGAGACGAGCACTCAGCATATTTAGGCGACAGCTTTTAAAGTCTAAGCAACAAAGCTCGTCTGGGGTTGAAATTGTAACGGGAAGAGGACAGCGCGTAGAGGCCTTATTCATTGTCATGACGTTCTAGTCCCGAACCCTGACATTTGCTCCAGGCTTTGGAAGCCCCGCTTCCCGTCGAGCCCAGGGGGTGCCACGCTTAATGGGAAGGTGCTGTGAGGGAAAGGTCTTTGAAAGGCTGCAGGCGGCCGGCAATCACAGCGGAGGAAAGCAATAATCATTGGCAAGCCTCAGCCAGGAGGGCTGGTTTGGACTTTCAAGGCTGAGACGACCGCTAAAACGAGGTTGGCCCAGCAAAGGGAGGCAAGGTGGGTGGAAGAGGAAACGGCGGCTTCCTTCGCGCACCAGGAACCTTCCCTCGGAATCTTACCCGGACACGCAAGGCGCGCGCCGGCCTCTCTTTCTTTCTCTCTCGTTCTGTATTCGAGCGAGCGAGCGAGCGAGCGAGAAGCGCTCGGTGTGGAGAGGCACCTGGCGCGAGGTGCTTTCCTTCGGAGCCGCCAGGGCGGAAAGAGATTCCTCAGCAAAGATGCGGACGGTGTTGTCTCTCGTGAGGTGGAGTGCGGGGCGTGAAGCTGAGGGCAGGCTTATGAAGCCGGCCCGACTTGTAGAGGCGGGGAGAGGGGCAGGAGAAGGAGGGAGGCGGTGACCTCAGAGCGGGATAAGGTGGGAGACAGCGGTACGAGCGACGCGGACCTCGCCTATTAAATATATATATATGTATGTATGTGTGTGTATATATATATATACTTTTCCTGGAGGCGAAGTATAAACGGCGCAATCCCCTGAAGCGAGCAACCCACGCCAGCCCACCTCCCTTCGTGTTTGTGGAGGCTGCGCGCAGCCGCCCGGGGCGGTGGGCACCATGCAGAGGTCGCCTCTGGAAAAGGCGAACGTTTTCTCCAAACTTTTCTTCAGGTGAGAGGGGGCG